TATATATATATATATATATATATATATATATATACACACACACACACACACATATACATACAAACACACACACACACACACACACACACACACACACACATATATATATCAGGCCTGGAAGCTCTCTTTTGCATTGAGCCCACATATAATGCTGTGGGAAATTGGGAGGGGGGATTTATGGAGCATGGGAGGTATAGTCAAAATAACATTCCTTTCTCAGAGAGTCAAGGACAAGTTGACCTGCACCTTGAGGGGTGTGACTGGGAGCCATCTCCAGTTGGAACATTGCCTGATTGGGCCTTGTGATGGACGTGGGTGCTGGGCAGGGACTTGGACTTTCATTTGGGTGGGGAAAATCTGGAAGCTTTCAGATTTGAGTTTTCCCAGATGTGCCAATGTGACATCTCCAATAAAATGGAACTTTGAGGAAACTCAAGCCTCGCGTCTTCTTTCGTTGGGGGGGGAGGGGAGGTGTTCCTTGGAACCCTGACAGTAAATTTCCTCTTTATCATAAAGGAGAGAACATGTCTTTTAAATGGTTAGCTTACGGAGCAAATGTATCCAGAACTAAATAAGGCATGTATTCTTTAAAGTAAATTTGTAGGCCCTGCAAACGTAATAAAAGATTAACTGGATAAATGTTTGATCCATTATGAGAAGGTTTTATATGGAGCTGTCCAGGGTACTGATTCCCTGTCCACAATGTTCCAAAGAAGAAATCCAGAGGTGGTATTCAGCCAGTTCTGACAGGTTCTGGAGAACCAGTAGCAGAAATTTTGAGTAGTTCAGAGAACCAGCAAATAGGCTGGCCCCGCCCTTGCTGCCTCCCAGCTGATCTTCTTTTGTTGCCTTGAACAGGAGAATGGAGCGGGAAAGCAGGTTAGTGGAGTGAGGAGGGAGTGGAGATTTTGCAGTATACTTGGCCTGCCACGCCCACAAAACCATGCCACACCCACAGAACCAGTAGTAAAAAAAATTTGAATCCTACCACTGCAAGAGACCATAGCTTAGGGATAGAGCATCTGGGCATTCAATCCCAGATATCAGAACTGTATTTCAAGTTTTCAAAAGTCAGGTAGCAAATGACGGGGGAGTTTTGTTTCTTCCAGAAATCCTGGGGGAGAAACTGTTGCTCTTTGGAAGAACTGCGATTGGGTTCGATGAGAAGAAAGGAGCTTTACCTGGTCGAAATCTCTTACCTGGGATGTGCGGCAGCCACTGCTGAGAATTCATTATTCCACATGGGCCTCCCAAAAGAGGTTTTTTGCCTCAGGCCTGTCACCATGTCAGTGGACTTCTGAAAATGGATAGCCGCGTGGCCAACCTAGTTTCCCAACAAAGAAAGGCCGCCAAAGTCAAAATTTGCCCAGCACTCCCAACTCTGAAATGCAGATGACTTCATTGAAAGTGCCATGCGATAAAAGTCAAGAAGCTCCAGAATAAGTTTACACGGAATAGCCCTCCAACTCACCATGCTTCTGTTCCAGCCCGTGAGGTAGAGATGATAGCTCAGGAAATCTGCTCTACCAGATCCCTCCATCTCCTGCTCCAAGGAGGAAAGGAGGTGCTTGAACCAAGCAAACGATCCCGTTTCTCTGCAAACCCAGTAGAAGTAAATCTGGCCGCCGACAAGAGAAAGAAAAGAAGATGGAAACGGCAACAGGCTTTAAAATGCCAGTCTGCGCCCTCTGAGTCAGAATGCCCTGCTGGCATACAGATCTTTCCTTGTTTCAACACAGAGTTGAAAGATGTTGAGAACAGAGAGAAGTACAACAACTTTTAGGGATTAGTCTTTATGCTATTTATGTTGTTTGTATTTGCTGTCATGGATTGCACCAGTGAGGCCAAAACCATTTTCATTGTATACATGAATGTACAATGACAATAAAGGCTGTACTATACTATTGCCCTGCTTACTGCATTGATTTCCCATTTTTATGTGGACCATCAAATCCCAAGGAAACTCGGTTTTCATAGCACACTAAACCCCAAAGAAACTCAATGAAAACTCCTCAACTTTGCTACATAGAAAGTGCATAATCCAATAGATCAAAGGTGTCAAACTCGATTTCATTCAGAGCCGCATCAGGGTTCTGTTTGACCTTGGGCGATGGGGAGGGGTGTGGCCAGGGGGCATGGCCC